ACCATTGTACATTCCTTCATTCATAACAAATAGTCTAATCTTCAACACCATCCTCTGATCTTATTCCATTTACGTCAATCCGTCCAGCTGTTTGGTACGCCATCGTTGATTCTTCCATCCACAAAATTTGACCACGAAATCGCTTATGAAACGTCATAAAATGATTTGCATCATAGAAGAGGCTAGGTTCCGCAAGGATTTGAGTTGGCCATTGACTTTTGGTATACAAGTGGCATCGTAGTTCCGAATTTGAATTGAAAGCTGAAGATAATCTTAAAGGTTGATCAAAAAATTGGTTCCTAAAAGGGGTTAATGGTGCAAATCCGTCTTCCAAATCTGGTGTACTGAACGGTAGACTCATGTTGATTTTGATTGATTTTCCTAGTTTTCCTTACTTGACGCTCCTTCGATACCTAAACAAACGGTTGCTCTGAAAAAGAAACAAATAATACTTTGGTCGCTGGTCTCTTTGCCAGGGCAAGCTTATGGTTTTCTTAAAATAAATAATCAGTTAAACACTGGGAATTTCTTCTTTCACAGAATCTACTTATCCAAATCCTTCGGTGGTCTTCCTTCTTTTGGTCAATAAGCAGCTGCTTTCTTCGAATAGTTCCAGAGTTCTCTTCAAACAGTATCCTAGTTATCCAGATCCTTTGGTCTCTTGCCTTCTTCTGGTCAATAACTGGCTGTCTTCTTCAAGTCCTCGTTTCAGTCGATTCCTACGCTTTCTTTTCAGAGGTCGGTTGGTTATGTCGTTGAATTGTTTATTGAAGTTTGACTAGTTGATCAACAGAATAACTGAATATGCCGCTGAGTAGTCGCAGATTTATTTGATGAATTCGTTCCGTTTACGGCTAAAGTAACGATCCTCTGTCGATGTCTTCTTGATTATCTTCTTGTTTTCGTTTAAAATTGGTCACACGATGTCAATCGGAAGTTTATCCTATCACGTTGGGGACTCTCTTTGTAAGACTCAAAAGTGGTTATGAAACTCTTTTTGCTGAATGGAGAAGGGGATGATGGAGTTGCAAGCTCTGCTCTTCTATGCTATCAGAACAACAGACCACCAAGCTTAGCTTGGCAGTTATATTTATCGTGATA